GGCGCGCCGCGGTCGGAAGGAGGCTGCGGAGCTTTGCGCGCCCCTCGCTCCGGCCACTGTCGGTGCGGGGCTGGTGCCGCTCTCCCGCAGCAGAGCGGTTGGTAGCGTTGGCAGCTCTGTGAAGGGCGGGCTTTTATCTCAGTTTCTTAGAGCTCGCTTTCCTCAGAAGCGCCAGGGGATGCCCTCCTCTGTCGGGTTACCAGCTCAGTTACTAAGATCCCGCACACGTGCCAACGCAGAACCCCCTCCCCGCCCCCATCGTTAATATCTCCTCAAGATCTGGAGCTCAAGTAGAGAAATGTTCCTGATATGGGTCTCTGATGGACAGTGTTAGTGTTGCTCCTGTAGTGAATTACATTTATTATTCATTTTAAAAGCGCGAATCTGTGCTTTGTAGCTTTTTAACTACTTGATTCAATGGTGCTTCTCCTGCTGGGCGAAAAGCTCCACGTTAAATGGTGATTTCGTAAGTAGGTAGCTGTAAATGGCAGTCATTACTGTTGAAACCTCTGGAACAGAACACTGAGCTCCAAAGTGCCTTGCAACAAAACGTTATCCAAACAAGAGATTGTCCTACCAGGTATGGCGTTGCAATGGGGGCTGTCCTGATGCAGCTTTTAGAACTGAATTAACAACGATTATTATTTGTGACTCACAACAGTTACATTTCGATATGCATATCTATGCTAGACTTCATTCTCAAAACTGGCTTGTATCAGTGCTGTACAAAACATACTATGGGAACCTATTGAGCGGTGTTAATTACACTACTGTCTCGGGATTTAATTGGTCTGTTACTCTGTCTTGAGCTAGGTGCTTTGTTTGGATTATTTTTAGATTGTTAGGCCAATAAACATTTAGTAGAACTAAATGGTTTGTTTTAAGTGCAGTAAGTTACTGTTAATCGCTCAGAGCTCTTGAACTTTTTTAATGCTTCAGTTGAAGGTTCTAGTTCTGCAGGCTTAATGCGGTTTATTTGGGTGCTCTTTTGAATCAGTTCTAGAACTAAATGGATTAGAAAACAATTGCTTTATTTCACCTATTGTCAAATGAATTATTTCTTGAATATTACACCAGAGAACACCTCTTCTTTAGTGGAAGACAAAGCCCAGTGGTGATATAGGCTTGAATCTCGTTTCTTCTTAAGCTGGAAAGTATGTTGCTTTCCTTGGCCAAATTTCCTGCTCACAACTTCTACAGCTAATTAATAAAGAAAAGTAGAGGCATCGGTGAAAATAATCCTGAGCCAGTGGAGTTAAGGAAGGGTTGTGTAGAAGTGAAAGTATTGTTATTAGTCAACACCAAGCTTTTAGAATAGCTGCAAGACCTTGAAAGACAACTTTGGAGAAAACACCACCATCTTCCATGGTATGTATTTGAATATCAAAGGAAATAGTGTTTCTTATAAGGTTTGCTTTATCTTATAAGATCTGTCACTTCAGCTATGCTTTTACTGGAAGCTTAGGGGAAGATGTTGTTGAGGTCTTGGAGTGGTTCTTATGTCATACCTTCAGGCTTTAAATCTTGACCAGATTCAGCTTAATGAACTTGCTCTGTTTCCTCTTCTCTCCCACCTACTCCTATGACTTTTACTCTGGATTTGGTCTCCTGCATTATGTACCTGCACAAATGCTTCTTCTGCATGTTCAAGAGAAGTTGGTGCAGGAGCAGTGATGTCTTTGGGTGTCAGTACAGGACTGAAGTATGTTTGCACCTGTTTCCTTGGACAATACTCCCAGCTATAATTATCATATGCTTTTCTATAAGATATGCTTCAATTTTTCCAAGTTTTTACATATTAAATGTTATTAAAACTAGTCCAGTATGTTTTTATTATAAATCTAAATAGGGATGTACTCTACAGTTTCTTTTTCTTAAAAACCTTTATGCATTTTTCCTGTGTCAAAACCAAAATCAGCCCACCCACCCCATCATTTTCATAAGTAGTTGTTTTAAGGATGTGTAATAAAGATAACCTTTGAGCTTCTAATGTTAAAATAGATTTTTTTTTTTCACTTCCTCTTATGTGGAAACACCACAGTGTCGACTTTACTGTGTTTTAACTCTCGCTTCTCTTATTGTGAGATAGCTGGTTCTAAAAAATTAAATATGCTTTACAGTCTACAGTTTCAGCTCAAATACCTATACACTTCAGAGAGTTGAGGACAAAAGAAATAAGAGTGCATCTGAAAACTTGGAGTTGATGCTTTTGATCTTGACCTTGAGAGAAAATGTTATCCCTTATAAAATTCAGAACATGAGGAGTAATTTTCTGGATGGTAAATGGGACTGATAATTGGCTTAGGTAGCCAGTTTTGGATATGATTGGTTTACCTTAACACATGGAAAGAGGAAAAAAAAATAAGTTTTGTTCTGGTTCTGTGTGAAGTAAGAAAGTTCTGACAATTACAGTACTGGAGAACAGGGCTAAAAAGATTAGGAGAATGGAAAGTTTTCAATGTCCCGTTCAGTTGAGAGGGAAGAACTTTGAGTGATTTAAGACACCTACGACAGCAGTCCTCTGTGCTTGCTCCTGATTTTTTTTCATGCCCAGATATTTAAATAAATAAATGCCTGTGAATTGAGCCCTTAAAGCTATGTGCTCATAACAGAAGAGTGCTCTGAAGCCTGTGCTGGTTGTTTAGTCTTTAAGACACTTTTTTCTGGTGGTAGAATGAGGGTTATTCAGAGAAATGTGTTAACAGCGACTTCTATTAGTTTTAAGAAAGAGTTAAATGTAAACTTGCTGTTATTATTACAGATCTTCTTTAATGTCTATTTCCTGAGAAATAGTTGTTTAAATGTTGTGTTTTGATGATCTAGTGTGACTGAATGATTTTTAATGATGTGATTGTAGGAAAATGTTTCTTGCATTTTGTTGTAAAACAAACAGAAAATGTCACAAGCCTTTTATGTCATGTGGCAATTTCAGGTGAAACTGCAATATGAGGAAATTGTCTGCTGAAGTGTTCTGTTGGTTTCTAATTAACATATTGTTTATGGCAGGCATATGATGGCTCAGTCAGATTTAGATCTAAAAGAGACAGCTCTGAAAGAGGATTTGAAGTTTTACTTCATGAACCCATGTGAAAAATACAGAGCAAGATGTCAAATACCGTGGAAGCTGGCTTTGCAGATTTTGAAGATACTTATGGTTACTACACAGGTAATCCTTCCTCTGTTTTTACTCTTAGAAAGCATAGCAGTGAGGCACAGGAGGAGCAGCTCTGTGCTTCTGGGCCTTTGCCATCCCTGGCTATTTGTTACTGACTTCAACTTCCTGCTTCAGTCCAGAAAGAAAAAATACTGTGAAAGTTGTGTCGAGGGGCAAGAATAACATAAACTAAATTACAAAAGCCTCCTGGTGATTTTGGGGGCAGTATTTGACCAGGTATTTTGCTGTTTCTAAGATAACACTTTAAAACAAGTTACTCTTCCTTCTCACTCAATCCAGCATGGTCATTAGGCCGAGTGTCACAGCACTGCTCCATGTTCTGCTGCCTGTTACATTCCTGTATATTATAGTTTCACTGGATTGTTTCAGGAGTGATAGTTGTTGAAATCTAGTCAGTAACTTCAGATGTACATGTTCAATGTTAAAATGCTACAGTCTCTGGTGATGATGGAGATGCCTGGGCTGCAGGAATCAGACGTGCCCCTTGCTTCTGCCATCAGAGGATGTGTTTCAGTCGGGAACCTGGACAGGTGGAGGCAAAAAAGAGGGTGGTTTTCAAACTGCACTGGTATCACAGTGTAATTGGTTATTTTACAGTCTGCTGAAAATGGTAACTGGAGGTTGAGGGAAGCAAAATAGGATATGTGGATTAAGTAGAATTTATTTTTCTGGACCTTTGAAATGTGGGACTCTGATATCTGACCTTTTGCAAGTACAGCTAAATATACAACTCCTGAAAACATGCTGAGTTGCAGGATTCCAGGTTTGTGTTTGACTTGCTCGCCAGAATGAAGTGTAACCCCAGCTTACGTGCCCCTGCGGTCCATTGACTGCTCTCACTCCCTGTCCCCTGCTGCAGTGGGCACAGGCTGCTGCCCCTCTGCCTCTGCTGCTGCCTGAGCTCTGCCCGCATGGGTTGGCCTGTCGAGGCAAGCCCAGCTAAAACAGGCTATTAACGCTAGTGCTGGCACAATTGCTACCTGCAGTGACAGAGCTACTGAGAACAGGGAGTGTACTGAGGTGTGGGGGGGAGGAGAGGGTGGGCGGTGCGAGCACGGCATAAGGGAAGAGGAAAGGCTGCCCCGTGTTATTTAATGGCAGCTGCCCCTCAGACATGGGTTATTGCCCTTTCTTCAGAGACGGGGCACTAACCTTTGTGTGTGAGTAATGAGACAAAATGTAACTTCTTGTGGCTCTGAAAAGGTTCAGTACTTTCAGTCTGTCCTGACCTACTGACTTACTCTTGGAAGACACTGAATGTGTAATTTTTGTCTGCTGTCCCAGTCTGCCACTCTCCTTTGTGAGCAGAAATGGTGCACTGCTGCTTGGCTTTCAAAGGTCACAAGATTTTCTGGATTGCTGCATAAGAGTTTTCTTACCAGCCCTGGGTCTTGCTCATATGCCAGGCAAGTGATCAGCAGGAGAAGGAAAATAGAGTTTCTGAAGGAAAATGTGTTGCTGCTCTGCAGGTACATCTTGAACATGAGCTAATTGTAAACAGAGAGGTTTAACAAGCATGTTTATATTTCACAGTGAGGGCAAGACCCTTGGAGGACCATCTAGGAATAAGTTAAACCACCTTCTAGCTGCTTCTGCCAGATGCCAGCCTCTTAGTCATACTTGTTCCAGCTTCTTCAGTGGTGTGCAGCAGCTGGGGTATCTGTGCCTGGCTGAAAAGCAGAAGAGGCTGCTGTCCCAGTGCGGGGAGTAAGTTTGACTCCAACGCAGTACTGAAATCCCCAGGGAGTCCCCTGAGGAAACCCCCTTGAGTGTTTTCTTTCTGTATTGCAACTAGAAGATCCCTGACTTTTTAGAGGTACCAAGAGTGCTGCAGATTTATTTGTAGCACTTGGTTAGTGATTTTTTTGCAGTCAAGGGAAAATATGAAGAGTCCATTTAAAAGTTGGCTAAAAGTATGAAGATTTAGTTGTCACTCTGAAGACTCTATATACTGGGCAGAGCTGGCATCCCCGTTCCTCTATCCTGGCTATGAAGTTGGTGTACAACCAAACAGCCTTGCACTAAATAGCCCTGCTGCATTCATTCTTTTAGCCTGGCCCACATCTAAGCAATTACTGTCTAGGACAAAAGATTAAATACTCCAACGAAGGGGGAAAAAATAGGTGTGCTTTCCATTTTCCATTGTTTTGAATTAAGGAGTTTGAATGTTAGTGGAGCCTCTCTGTTCGATTTGGGGCATTTCTAAGTTCACAGTTATTTTGCTTGCAGTTTCTCACTCCTGCTTCTTCCCTGCTTCTACCAGTTTCTGGTGGGGCTTGGAAACTCCATGCAGTTATGAGACACTCTCACATTTACTGTTAGTAAGCAGTTTAATACTAGGATGAAGAGTTAGCTGTTTGGAGCCTGGGGCATCCTCCTGCTGCTATGTTTGTGAAGAAACTCTTGTTGATATATTTCACCTTGTAGGCTCCATTTATATATTTTCCTTGGTGGTGGTGGGAATGGAAGTATCCACATGGCAACACAGATCCTGAGGAGTAACTCTTGACATTTACTGTTAGTAAGCAGTTTAATACTAGGATGAAGAGTTAGCTGTTTGGAGCCTGGGGCATCCTCCTGCTGCTATGTTTGTGAAGAAACTCTTGTTGATATATTTCACCTTGTAGGCTCCATTTATATATTTTCCTTGGTGGTGGTGGGAATGGAAGTATCCACATGGCAACACAGATCCTGAGGAGTAACTCTGCTGCTGATTATAGCCTCCTTAACCAGCACCTGGGTCAGACAAGTGATGCTTTTTGTTGCTGTGGGTCCCACATAAGTTTGCTCTAATCCTGTGCCATGCCAGAGGTAGGAGGAAACTGCTGGAATTTGTCCCATGCTAAAGCAGGGCATCTCTGGGGTAGCAGGCTGTGCTGGTAGGTTAGCTCTTCTGCTGTTTGCATCCTTAACAAAAGTTTGACAAGTTCAGGTTAGAGCTGTTGGTCTGGGATGTGTGAAAGGTTGCTGTGATGTAGCTGTCTGTTCAGTAGCTGCGCTGTAAATTTTAGAAATGGTAGGAGACACTGATTTCTGTTTCTCTTACCCTGCATGTGGCAACCTTGGCTTTAGTCATCTTATGCATTAATTAACAGATTCTTTGCTTCTGTTGTAGCAGGGTTACAGCAACAGGCACCTTTCTGGTTTGCATTTATTATAGTTCAAAGCTGTTTCTGAAATGTTGCTACTTGACCAGTGTTCAAAATTTGAATTTGTTTTTTCTCTTGTCAGCTTATCTTTTTTGGTTTAAGTAACCAGTTGGTGGTTTCATTCAAAGAGGAAAACACTATTGCTTTTAAACACCTATTCCTGAAAGGCTATTCTGGAGTTGATGAAGATGACTACAGCTGCAGTATATATACACAACAGGATGCTTATGATAGCATTTTTTATGTTATTAATCAGGTAAGTGTGTTTGTTTATAATGAACAGTGTTAAAGCTGAAGCTATAACTATAAGGTTCTGCTGAGGTTCTGGTTTTTTTCTGTCTGCATTCTTGGATTTAACTTTTGATATTTCAGCAAATCAGCTTAGGTGGGGTGTCCTGAATTTTGTGTGTGGATGTCTCTTAGAGTCAAATCTAAACCAAAATTTTACTCAGTTACTGCGTAGTACTGAAATCCAGAGAGTTTGAAAAGTCACTCATCTTGCATGAACTGGAAGCTTTGTTTAGGTCTTACTTTGAAAAGCTATGGGCCTGAATATACCTATGCATGGTATTCAAAAAATTTGTGCTTACAGCTATACTGAATTGCAGCTTTGTAGTGAGTGGCTGAGTGCCAGAGGCCTCAAAATGGGGAATACGGTGCTTCTAGGAATGCAGGGGCACTTGCCCTGTTTGGGGTATTTTAAAAACAGTCCCTTAACAATTGAGGGAGGAAAGTGAATGTATCTAGGATGAAAATTCAGTAAATATATTTGTATTGAGTATTAATACATTCAGAAGTCATGAGATGAAAGAGGGTCTGTGGAAAATGAAATGTCTCGTATGGTTGGGGATGACGATAAGCCCAGAAATGGTTCAGATGAGATGAACAGAAAGTGGCTTTAAACCTCCTTTCACTTTCCTGAACCTTGGAACATTATCTCTGACACTTGGTTTAAAGCAGTTTTCCCTGCCATCAGTTATACCCAGCAGGCATCTGGGAATTGTGGTGGTGCAAAGGCAGTACAGCCTTCTTAAACAGGCACTTGTTGGGGGTTTGCTGCTCCTCAGCTGTGCCCTCTGAGCTACTGCAGAGCCACCGGCAGGTTAAATGTTCTCTGCTGTGCTGGACAAGGCAACAACTCTGACTCCTGGTATGTTAAATAGGTGTTGAATGGTTTCCTCAGTCTTCCTTTGAACTCTCAAAATTGCTACTGTTTCTGCTATAAATGGCTTTTTTTTTTTTTCTTTCCTTGCTTGCTTCGTCTCACTTTCCTTCTTTTGTAGGCGCTAAGGCTGAGGTGAAGTCCAGATAGAAGAAAGTAGAGAAATAATAGCTTTATATCCTCGAGAATGAGCCAATGTGTGATACAGGCATCAGAAAAAGGTCTCTTCATAAAAATGTGTATGTCGTAAAATGTAGATGTATCCTTTAAGGAGATCAGATTTGTGTAATCTGGGTTCTTTAGTGTCATATGGAGTTTCTGAGACTTTTTAAATTGCATGTGAGACTTCACAAGGTGTGCCTCCAGGTGAACTGTATGACTGGTATTGCTTTTTTGGGTGGTGTTTTTTTTTAAAGGATGCATTCTAGGAAGAGCCAAGACAGGTGACTCCTAAGCAAGGTTTTTTTTATTTTGAGTTGGGCAGCTAGAAGCCATAGGTTCTGGAGTTTTGTTTTGAGTTTTAATTTGAAATGTGTCATTGGGGTGGAGGGGGGCTGCAGGGGTTGGGCAAGCAGAACAATATGATATTACAGAAGATGTGCACAGCAAAACTGGAGTTGTACAAACTGAATTTTAGGCTTCTTGTAATGTACCACTGGGATATTTTCAGTTTGAAAAAAAAACCAAAACCCAAAACAAACCAAGAACAAAAAAACCCCAAACATACTTTTCCATTTGGAAGAGTACACAGCTCTTCCTTACTCGTCTCCTGGGTCCAGTTTGGAAGTTTCTGTTACGAAGCTGTGTGGAGTTGTTACAGTTGTAGCTTGCCCTGTGGCAGAGTCTGTAGGACCAGGATGTTCTGTTGGCTGTTCTGCCTGAGGCTGCCTAGAAATCTGTAAACAAGAATTTTGCTTTTCCTGTTTCATAGTGTTGTTTGAAAATAGTGTGTGAGTAATCTGGAGCCATGTGTTGCGCTGTCAGGAGGGCAGAGCCTGAAAGCACGTGTGGACGGAGCAGGGGCTCTTGGATGCGGTGATCTGGAGCTGTCCTCAGAGGGATGTGGAGTTGTGACTAGCTACTGTTTTCCACTCACTTGACTTGCCTTAGTCAGACTTGGCTCACTTACTTTGAGTTAAGATAGTGTTCTGACAGGGCACGGAGGCTGTGCTTTTCTCCTAAGCTATCTAAGCTTGTTGCAAGCTCAGCTGTGAGGACTCAAAGCAGCACTGTGAGGCAGGGCTTCGGATGGAAGCGTGGCAGTTCCTGTTGCAGTTCCTTCTGGACGTGGAGCGTGTGGTTGTTAACGACTGCTGGGATTTTGTACCCCACAAGATGGGCTAGTGGCCATAATGCCCGTAGGAAGGAGGAAATAGGATGATGCTGAATGATGCATAATAACAAAATCTGTATTTAAAGGGGAAGAGGTCTAACCTGTATCAAAGCCAGCTGAGCAATATTTTAAGGAATGGAAGTATTGTGTGACTTCTCATGTTTACTTACTTTAGGCCTCATGGGAAGTGAAATGCTTCCTGCAGAGCAGTGCTGTGTGCTGCCCCAAGCTCTTCTTGCTTGGTGAGGTGACAATAAAAACTAATGAATTACTAGATTATGCCTGGTGGCTCAAAGGCCTGTGGGGTCTGTCCGGCTTCTCTTGGACAGTGTCAGGGGATGTGAAGCTGAGCTGGCTGGCAGCTGCCTGCACAGGCAGTCATTGATCTGAGGGGCCCAGATGTGTGGTGGGAGCTGTGCCCCAGGCTCTGCCTCACTCCTGCAGTGCTGGCAGGTGTGGCTCGGATCAGAAGATGTACCTCGCTTCCAGCAGACACAGAGGATGCGTGGGAAGCAAGTCAGGAGAGGACTGGCCTTGAATGGAGTTCTTCAGTGGTGCTCAGGGCTGACCCATGAACGGACAGTGCTGGGCTTGCCATAGCTTTGTTCACTTCCACTTCTAGTCCTTGTTTTCAAGCATATCTTGCATATGAAGAAGGTGACTTATGCTGTATTTGGAGTAAGTGGAGAAAGAAAGTACCCTCCTCACAGGCATGTTTTCTGTTGCTTCTGTGCTCATGTAAAGCAGGTGGGTTAAATGACTTTTGGAGGCTGCCCAGGCTCCATGTATGTTCCTTGGTTGCTGGTTATATAGCAAACATGTGGCTTCCCTTTTCCATAGTTGCACAGGGAGCAGCTTTGGTTTTGCTCTTTGGGTGGATTTGATAAGAGCTGTGACTTGGATTGTATGTAAAGCAATCAAGTTTCAAGTGGTGTGAAAGCTAACACCTTCATGAGATAAATACATAAGATATCCCTGGAGTGTGTGTGGTTAGCAGCAATACTACATTGAAGGCACTGCGAGGCATGTAATTAAAAGCTGGCTGCTGGCTTGCTGTCTGGCACACAGGCAGTCATTTGCAGGCAGCCCAGTAGGTCTGGGGCTCCCAGTCACCATGTCCCCAGGGTGCAAATCACTACTAATTAGAGGCCAGCAACCCTCTTAGCTTCCCATGAGATATCCACTCTCAATTTGCAGACTTTATGTGAAAGCAGAGACTTTTTGGTGTTTTTTTAATATAAAAAGCTATATTGATATATATAACTTTGAGATTGCAAGTTACTATCTAATGCAAGAAAGACAACTATCACTAACTTCTGCTTCTGTTTTGTTTTTAAACTAGTACAGCCAATTAAAGAACATATCCTTGGGGGCGCTTGGTTATGAACATGAAGGATCAGGTTTAAAAATCTGTAAACAGCAGTACAAGAAAGGCACGATGCTTCCTTCCAATGATACACTGAATATAGATGTTTCTACTGAAACAGGTATGGTGTTGTTGTATTAAAATGCCTTGCTGTGGAGTGCTTATCTTCTGATGCTAAATCAGTAAAGTTTAAAACCAATAGCTTTTTGTGTGGCAATCACAGGAACATAACATGCCTTTTGCCTGTTTCCCTCTTGGTTTTTGGTACCTGCCTAGAAATGGCAACTGTAGACTGTAGGAAGCTCTTTTCAGCTGCTGCATTAGTGGGTTTGTGGTTTGTTTTTTTGTTTCCCCCACCCACCATGCAGAAAGTTCAAATACAGAATTCTGGATGGTCAGTCTGTACCTTCAGTGGGTGGATGTCCTTACCACCTCTCAGAGCTGAATCCTTGCTGTTAGTGTCTCAAGCTTTACTACATGAACCTGCTTCTGATCCCACTAGCTGGGGCTTTCTGTGGATAGATTTGCTCAAAATTAACATTTTGCCTAAGACTAGGATTTGCCATTCAACCTGGTTATCTCAGTTTTATGTTGCTTTCTATGTGAAGTTTTTAAAATTACAGCTTTTCCTCTTCTCCTCCCAGAATGTATCTTTTTTAAGCCACAGGAGCTAGCTGGTAAGAAGGCTGAACTGAAGCTGAACTCCTCTTTTTTCAATCTTGAATTTTACAGGTAAAGCAGTGGTGGGAATTTTTTATATTTTTAACTTGTCCTTTCATATGAATATGTTAGATTCTGAGTTGCGCAGTTTCCTTGCTTTGTGTATGTTTATCTATTTTTGTGTGTTTATATATATGTATATTTTTTGTGTATTTATATATGTGTTTATACTCTGTTTAAAACATTCAGGCTTATACAGGTTGAAATCTCCTTCAAGCTGAAAGGCATTGCTCTACAGACAATCCATGCCCGTGAATTGCCTGACTGCTATGCATTTCAAAATACTGTAAGTGAGTATGGGGTATGGCACTTCCAGAGCTTAAGCTAAGGGGTAGTCGTCATCCCTGTATTTAGACTGTAAGGGAAAAGCAGTTGAGCATGTCCTGGCCCTTACCCCTCCTTCCCAAAGATTGCTGAAATGGTGTTGCCATGGGACAATATTATTTTGTATCGTATTCCAGCTGGTAACTTCATAACCTGAGAAGGAGATAAATAATTGTTATTCTTCTAAAGGTTAAACTTTGTCTTTTGGCTTCTTGAAATACTGCTTTTTATGCTATATGTGACATGTTCTCAAATTATATCTACACTAGCACTTACAGGGACAGCTTTCTTAAAGCTTACCTGACCAACAAATATTAATGCATATTATGTCAAAGCACTTACCAAAGTTTTTTTTCTTATGGAATAAAATTTTCTTAGTCTTGTTTCTGACATACTTTTGTATTTCCAGATAACTTTCAATAATAGAGCCCACAGTGGAAAAATCAAAATCTATTTTGATAGTGACACTGACATTCAAGAATGTAAAGATTGGCACATATTTGGCTCTGGTAAGTATGGTACACATGTGTTTGCACGATAGCAGTGTTGCCCATCTCCCATAATTTCCCCTGCTCTGTTAGTGTCTAGCAAGGCATTCCCCATCTTGTTCATCAATTTATATGAGAAAGCCAAGGAAAACACCTGATTTGGGTTCATGTGATGGCTAATAAACCTGTGGATGAAAAGAATACAGTAGTACAGAAAGTCAAACAAGTTTCTGATTGCAGGTCATGGAGTGAGAAACGAGGTGGGATATTGTTGTTTGGTTTTAATTTAATTATGTTGGTATGGGCCAAAGCCTGCATTTTTTCTACCCCATGTAGTTGTAATAGTGTTGGATCATAGATGGACAGATGAACTTAGTACAAAAAGGGGAAACTTGTATTAATATGCCCATTTTTGGTTTTATTTTGAAGAACTTGAACATGCTTTTCACTCTTGTGGCTCAATCTCCATAGTTGCAGAAAGAATATTTCTTATAACCTATCTATTTATGGGATGAGAGTGTTTAGATGCAAAATATGTGACATTTTTTAACAGCTTGTGCTCAGAGATGTGGAAAGCCTAAAACTTCTTCCTTTGACTCTTTACAGTTCTCCAGAAAAACACTCAGTATATTCTAGTCTTTGATGGCTTTGTCATTTTAAGTTGCTTTGCTTCTCTCATCCTCTGCACACGATCCATTGTTCTTGCCTTGAGACTACAAAAAGTAAGTACAGTGCTTATAATCTCAATGCTTATTTTGTCTGTCTTGTTTGCTGCTAGTCTTGTCAAGTGGTACGTGTTGAAATATTGGGGTAGTATATCTGTTGCAGGATGTTGCTCTCTTACTGTATCTGTATGTCTAGAAAGGATGTGTAGATGTGTATGATAAAAAGTTGCTAGATGAATGGGTTTTTACTTTTGTTTGTGTAGTGCTGTAATAGAAAGTATTTTGTTGTATCTCTCCAGGGCAAAAGAAGGAGACTTTTTTTTTGTCCAGGATTTTATGCAAAAAAACCTGAGTCTTTGTGCTGCTAACAGCCGAACACATCCTGCACCATCAAAACATGAATTCTTCTTTCCCTGGCTTCAGAGTAGAATCCCATAGAGGTCTTGTTGTAAATTAATGCTTTAATGAACATCCCTCAAAGCCAGCTCTAACTGGAGAAAATGTAAAGCATAGCATATAGTCTAACTCTGTTTGGATTCTTTGGTCTTTCTGGGGCTGGAACCACTCTTTTTCAGTTCTTCTTTCCTTCTTCTCTTTCCACAATCCCTGATCACCGTCTGCTGTCACTTTCTTCCCTGCTTACCCTCCTTTGCAGAATGAGACTAGCCCTGTCTGACTTCATCTCAAGCTGCTTGCAGAGCTTCATGTAAGCGGACTCAGCTCTTCTGGTCCAAATACTGCTGCAGAAACACTAGCTGGGCTCTGAGATGTGCCAACTTATAACCATTGATTGGTACAAACTTTGCAAGCATGTAGCTTATGAGAGTTGTAAGAAGAGGATAGGTAGGATGTGAAAGCACAGATACTTATCATGTTCATTATATCCTTTTTGTAGCTTGTAAACAAGACAAGGGTGAAGAGGACACAATTCAGAAAAGGCATTGTCAAACTGCTGTCAGGAATAGGGACATCAGCATTTATTCATGAGCAAAAAGAGCAAGTGAAAGCAGATAGGCAGTGTTGGGTGTAGGAAGTGATATTGTAAGCTCTATTGGAAATAAGAGCTCTTGCCTTGTAGTTGTATTTGAGTTATTAATTCTCTTTTTCACTCCTTTAGTTGGGTGTCCTTGCTATGTTGGATGTAGATAGAAACCTTTTATGAAGGGGGTTCAGGAGGAGGTAACAAGCCATGGTTAGGCTAGTGGGGATTGGTTATGAAGTCAGCTGTTCTCTGGAAAGTTGCTCTTCACTGGCCTAAACTAATCTTAGTTTTTTTTCCTATTTATTTCTGTTGATACTGAGAATTAGTTTTAAGCTATTATTCCAGCAAATACTATTGGAAAAGGGGGTGTGTGAAACTTGAGCATTGCTACACTACTGGAGCATCTGTACGTATTTTTAATCTAAGGTGACCTGTAACGAAACATCTAAATGCTTGTCAATAGAGATTTGTGAACTTCTTCTGGGAGAAATATAAGCGCCATGTCTGTCATGCTGATCGCTTGGAATTCATAAATGGATGGTATGTCCTGGTAATTATCAGTGATGTGATGACAATCATTGGGTCAATCCTAAAAATGGAAATAAAAGCCAAGGTGAGAGCTTAATACTTAGGATAAAATACTAGTCTTGTTACAACTGTGTAATGTGTTTTAACTTGGGGACAAAAAAAGCTGAGCTATAATAGTCACTGGTCATCTTGTTTACTTTTGATAGTTCTTATTTCTTCATTTCCTAGTGCTATTTTGACTAATAATTGGTTTCAGTCCTTTTCCCCCAAAGTCTTTCAGTAAGACCACGTAAGTTATTTAAACATGTTATTTTTATAGTGTGAAGTCCCCTAATCCTTGGTATAGGACCTGTGGGTAGACAGTTCCTAACAAAAAACTCCACAGTTTGGGTTGTGTGTTTTTTCTGTAAAAAGTAGTATAGTACATATCGTACAGGGAAATCAAGAGTCATCCCCTTGGATAAAATGCGGTTCTCAGTGGCTTGTGGGACTAGAAACGTGGTTGTTACAGCTTGCTTTCCTGGCCTGTCTGAACTACGGGCATAGTGTCACCTGCTAGTCCTTGACCTCCCAGTCTGGGCTTGCTGAAATCAACGTGCTTTGTCCAGCTGGCATCTCTTCAGGGGGGTTTTTGGTTTGTTTTGTTTGTTTCATTGGGGTCTTTTTTTCTTCAATAGAGTTGTATGTCAACAATTCATGTGTTTACAAAACTGTATTCTGGGAAAAAGAGGGTAGGTAGTGTGCTGCTCCTGCTTCATGTGTACTGAGGCTCAAAGGGCAGGTGTCCAGAGTGGCCTTCAGAGGAAGCACTTGAGAGCCTCCAGCTGTGTGGCAAGGTGGGAGGATGAGGGTAGATGGGTATCTCATGCTTATTGCAACCAGTTGTAGCCCTCTAAAGTAAAATGCAAGTAGAACTGGTATAAACTTCATGGATAGTAAAGATGATGTTCAGGCTCTGAACAGCTGGCAGCCTATTCAGAGGTGTAAATGCATGTAGCATGGAAAGGGCTGTAGCCCTGAGGCTCACTTTTCATTTAAATGATGGCTCATGTTTTACTAAATAGCTGTCAAGAGCTTGTTTGCCTAACAGTAGCATATATTACCTTTTTTTTTAAACAAAAATTTCAAGATATTCAATCTTAAGACTCTCGTAACCAAGGTAAAGCCTTTAGTTCTTCATGCAACACTACAAGAATATCAGCATAGATGAGCTTTCATTTGTTGCCCTATTGCATTTGGGTGATCTCACTGAGTAACTGCAGTTCACTTTTTAGTCTGATTTTTGTCATGTAGCAACATCCTTTCAATATTGGACTGCCCTGCTCTGTTTGAACTGCTGGAACTTGCTTAGCTGTCACGCTGACATACCTACCACTTTGTAACTTTACCACCTGCTCTGTTTGGATCCCTCAGAACCTCACAAGTTATGACGTCTGCAGCATTTTACTTGGAACATCAACTTTGTTTGTCTGGGTTGGAGTCATCAGATACCTGGGATATTTTCAAACCTACAATGTAAGGCAGGAATCAAATATTCAACAATTAATGCATATTTGTCACTCTTATTCAGGTCCCTCTAACTTGTGGCTTTTTCCCGTTCTTTTTTCCACCCTGACATGTAGGTGCTTATTTTAACTATGCAGGCATCATTGCCCAAAGTGCTAAGGTTTTGTTGTTGTGCTGGGATGATTTATCTTGGATACACTTTCTGTGGTTGGATTGTCTTGGGACCCTATCATGAAAAAGTATGTACTCCTTTTCTAGTCTAATGATGTGTGAATATCTGTGTGCGTGTGTGTAGTTCCTAGTTACAAAACAGAAATAGGTCTTGAATTTATGTTTTTGTTTAAAAGCTGTAACATGAACACAGGAGTGTTTCTCCTTCCACATGTACCTCCAGCTGCCTGTTCCGTTTAACAAAATAACTGTATTCTTGCTTTCACTGTGTGCGTGAACTCAATGTAATCGGAAATGCAAGGCTGTGTTTGTGATGAGTGTCTGGTTTATCCAGGCAATGGCTGGCTGGGGACTAGAGGTAAATTGGTCTGGTATCTCTTTCGCCCTCTTCTGGCAATCCCAGTTCAGTTGGGTTAAAGAGGCACTAGTTCACTGTTACGATTTCTGGGAACCTCCTTGACTGTGACTTTGTTTTTCCAAATCTTTCCTGTGCCGTGTAACTTCACCTCCTAAACCTTGACTCATAAGTGGGTGGATGAGTGGTTGTCTTGTTTAATTTGCTTCCTGTGTGTGATGTGTTGTGGGGTTTTTGTTTGGGTTTTTTTTTATGGTTGATATCCAAGTGTGTGCCTGGTATGTTGTCTTGTCTGAAACATGGGTACAGCAGTAAGGCTGTGTATATTCCAAAACACAAGCAAAAACAGTCACAAAGCTTGTTTTGTTATTTTCTTGGCAGATGCTCTATGTGACAGTTTGAAAAAAGGTGGATTCCTGTTGTGGTAAATTCTAGATGTCCATTAGTCAGTAACAAATGTATGACTTCTCATTCTTGATTTCTGGTTACACACAGTATACAGTGTAACAGAAACACATGCTGCAGTGCTTGCTTCAGCTCGGATTCCTCTAACATAATGTAAATCTCTCCTTTGAGAAATGTAGGTATTCAGTCTGTGCATATTTTAAGTTGATGACAATACATTCCTCTGGAGTGCTGGATGCTGTGGGATCCTCAGTCATACTAGAGGCTCAGTAACAGGCACAGCATAAATACTGTTGTAGCTTCCCTGCAGCAAGAACAGTAATTCTCTGAGCAAAAGGAGGTGTAGTCGATAGTATGCTTATCTATGAAAATGTTGCCTGTTGCTAAATATCACAGATCAGTGTCAAGGAAAGCAACTGTGAGTGTGTGTGTGGGGTTTCCTGTTCCCGGCGGTTCCCCAGTACGCCACGGGAAGGCAGCGTGGCACTGTGCAGCGCCGGCGCGCCATGGGGCTGGCTGCCAGGGCTCTCCTGCTGCGCCAGCCAGAGCCCTCCCTGCTGTGCCAGTGCACAGGAGAGAGCTCCTTATGCTCAAACATGTAGAAATATGTATGTTGGTTGTCCTTCTGCTACTACAGCCAGAGGAGGAGTGGGAATCCTGCATTTTGTGTTGTGTCAATCCAGGGGTTTATAGGTGAGCAGTCCTTAGCAGGTCTCTCTGTGCCAGTGCATCAAAACTCGTGGGTTGCTCAAGAATTACCTGTACCATGCCCTGCTGCTTCCCAAATAGTGTGCTTCTGGGTCCCATAATGGCTTTAAAAATAAAGAGTAGTAATAATAATAATAAGCCATAGGTAAAACCAGACCTGCTGTTCCTGTGCAACAGTTTGTTCTCCTTACAAGCATGTGCCTCTTGACATCTTGTTTTCAATACAGGACTGCAATTCAAGTGGATGTAGTCATGTTACTTCATTGATAATAGCTACATTAAAACACTGTGCATTAATTCATATTGTCCAGTAAAGTATAGTTAACATATGCAGTAATTTGGAGGGGCAAAGCAAGAGAGGGGAGTGTGCTTACCCGTCTGAGTGGAATTTAGCCTCAGGGCATGTTCCAGCCTGGGGAGATGGAGTCAGGAATTTAAGAGGATGTCCTTGAAATGAAACTGTGATTTTTGTCCAGGGTATGCTTAGCAGCTTCACAATACAGCTATAGCTTATACCTACAGCTCAGAGGGTTTTTTGAATTTTTTGACTGACAGGTGTTTTTGACTGACTTGTTATTGCAAGACAAATCTAGTTTAGACGATTTGAGCTCTGGAGGCTATATGCTATCTCTGACTTAATACAATATTGATTAATTACCCATACTTCAGTAATGATGCAGAGCTGGGAAACCAGAGGATGTGGATTCTGTTCCCAGCATACTACCACTGATTTACTGTATAGATTCAGTGTAATCACTCTATCTAGCTTTGGTTAATGGAATAATATTTTCTTGCAGGTCTAAAATAGTTTAAAACTTAGTTTCTGTGCTGGTCAGTTACTGGCTGTTTTGTCTGCTGAGCATCACAAGTTTATTTCTTGATGATAAATCTTGTTTATTATGTCCATATATAATGCTTATCCAAGTTTATACTTCTACACAGTTCTGTTACTGACATGTATGTTTTGGTCTGAATGTGCAGGAAAGAAAGTGTGGTAGCAGTTGATTGATGGGGTTGTCTTTTTTCTTCTGCTATGAGTAAAACACGAAAAAAAATACTTTTTTTTTTTTAATAACACTTTTTACTTTCCCTTTGATCTGTCTGATTGATCTTCAAATCTATTAATAATTTGTACTCATTATTTTCTAGTTTGAAGATCTGAACACAGTGGCTGAGTGTCTGTTTTCTTTGGTCAACGGTGATGACATGTTTGCAACATTTGCTCAAATCCAGCAGAAGAGCACACTGGTGTGGGTGTTCAGTCGGTTGTATCTGTACTCCTTCATTAGTCTGTTTATATACATGATCCTCAGCCTTTTTATTGCACTCATTACTGACTCATATGACACCATAAAGGTAAAATATTCTTTTTTCTGTTACACTTGTAATCAGTTTTGTGTTCATTCTTGTTAATCACTCAACACCATACTATACAGCATTAATTATGATAACTGATCAGACTATTAAAATCTTTTAGCTTCGTCTGTGTTGAAATTGGGAGGATGACTGGGTAGTCATCCAAATGACTAAGCAATAAGTGCTTTAGAAAATCATCCTTAGCGTGTGTCCCTGTTTTGTATTTCCTGCTGCTTCAACTGGCTCCAAAATGGTAACAGCTAATGGAAACATAAGTGGAAGGATGAGTAGGAAGAGTCAATTTTCAAGTCCAGTTACACAGAGCTGGAGAAGTCTAGTTTGGAGTGAATGCTGCTTTTTGTAGCTCAAGAAGCTGAGGTCAGGAAGGGTTTGCTGACATTTCAGAGAATATCCCCTTGGCAGGAGTGTGGCAAGGGCTAAGCAGATAACTAAACTCATTTAGGTGTCCAGGCTTGCTTAATGTGCTGCTTGGAAATGTGTGGTTAAAAGGAAATGTGTTATGAAAGACCCACTACTTCTCCTTCAGGTTAAAACTGCACAATCCGTTTCCAGTATCAACTGACTGAAACTGAAACAAAGTTTTTGGTGATTACCTTTTTTTTTCTTGATCTCTGGTGCTGTCTCCCCTTTGTGCTCCTGGTAGCGTTTTTGGTGATTACCTTTTTTTTTTTCTTGATCTCTAGTGCTGTCTCCCCTTTGTGCTCCTGGTAGCTGCAGTAACTAGGGGGAGGGCAATGTGGATCATACTCTCTAGCTCTTGTCCCTCTCTTGTCTTAGTGTAGAATAAACAGGCCAGCAGAATAATGCTAGTGTGACAGCTTCCAGACTGAGCAAGAGCTCCACTTCCTAAGCATCTCGAATACAACTTAACCTTCTGTGCTTCTGACTTTATTTGCACTGACCTGCAAAACAGTGTTTGACTGTTACTTTTCCCTTTGAGCACTTTATGTGGCTCAATGGGGAGCCGTTTCAGTGTGCTGAACTGGTGTTTTGCAGAGGATTTCCTCAGCATGGCAATGCTGAATATCCACGTTAGGGCCCTTCAAATCCAGCATTGGGATTCCCAGGGAAAATGAGCCCAGGGCACTCTCAGTGAGCACAGCAGCCAATGCGAAGAAAGGAGAGTCAATGCCAGTATGACTTGAGATCGCTTACTTGGTTTTATGGACAGCCAATAACGTGTAAGAGAATCTGAATAATATGGGTTTTATGTCCCTTACATTAATTACTTTGTACCACCAACTACATGTGTGGTGTTTCTAGGATGGAATTGTATTTTTTTCTACCTGCAGCAATACTGAACAATCGAACCAAACAGTCTGGTTTTGGCTATCATACTCCAGAGGAAATTTTAGAACATTTAGTGCCCAGTAACTTCTCATGTGTTGTAAATAAAATGTTTTATCTTTCAGAAATACCAGCAAAGTGGCTTTCCAGTAACAGATTTACATGAATTTCTAAAAGACCATGGCAGTGTTGGTTACAGAAAAGAAGAGACTTCCATGCCATTCATCTGCTGCTGTAGGAGGTCAGTAGGGTGTTTTCAATGAATGTTTTTTCTCAGAAATACACCAGTTAGGTTCTCATGCAAAGTGCTGTTTCACAAATGCTGGAGTGTCCAGAATTTAGCCCGTGGAATATTTGGACACTGTTGCTCCTCTTGTGCTTTACTTGGTGTTAGATCTTTAGTCTGCTGATGGTGCAGGGGTGGCAATTCTGAGCTTAAATGCATGTTTTAAGTGTTCTGCTCGTATGAAAACTACCATGCAGAAACCGGTGGAAGTTGATGATGACTGGAGAGTATAACATGGAACTGCCAAGGAGTCAGGAGAAACTAATTCTCTGCTGCTTAAGGTTTTACAAGTCTTCTGTTTCTAAAAAGTTTTTCTGTTAGGCTGGGAGTAGTAGCAGAGAGCAAGAGAATGTGATTCAGCCATGGACCAGTACTTAATCAAACTGGTTCAATACCATATGTTAGAATATTGGAGACATGCTTGTAAATGTCTGGTTGCCACCAGACTTGAGCCTTTTGAGGTCTTGGCAGTGGTCTTTTTTAAGCTGGTGTTGATGAGAGATGAACATCTCACCTGGTGCTTGCTGGTCAGAAAGTTTATTCTTTGAATTCTGTTTTTGAGGAAACTTGATGCACCTCTGGATCCCTGATGAAGAGAGAAGGGATCTTGTTGCTGTCTGCAGGCAGTCTGGGAGAATTCAGGCTTGTGCACAGTGTGGTCATGGGCACTGTGCAAGGAGGCCAGGCTATGGGAGAAGGAATAGAGCTGAATGTGAATGCCTGTTCTAATCCTGACTGGTATAACAAATCCTATTTTAGCAGTAGGATACTAGTCTACTTTTATACTGAGGCTTTTGTGAAACGCAACTTTATACTTTTGATGTACTCTGGCAGCTGGAAACCTCATAGCCAGAAAAGACCATGTGAGATGATGATGGGCAGGTATCCCAGCAGTTGCTGGGGAAACTTGAAAGCCACCTAGTTAATAAGGACTCCAGCCAGATACAGCTTTGTTTCACATCGAAGTTGTTGTGCAGGATAAGAGATTTTTGTCTGCTTGAGCATAATAAATATGCTTTACTGTAATATGCTGCATGGTGTGCTGGTAGCTGCAATGGTAGCTGGAGCGCAAATCTAGAGCTTTTGCTACTATAGCAGTTTCTGCTTGATTGTCCCAGTGCAGGTGTTGGAGCTGTATGCTGAAATGGGAGAGCATAGAACAGATCAAAACTCAGCTTGGTTCTGTGTGGGTAAATGCTTCCAATTGCGTTTCCTGCCGAATGAGAAATTGTGAATTTTTTCTTTTGCAGACAACAGAGTGATGACAACTTGATACTTATTAATTGATGATTATGCATTGAAATTCACCATTAATATATGCAAACAAAGCATAGTTGTATGGAGAAGAATAATTCTCCAAATTGCAATGAAACACACTATCTGGACGTGCCTTGTTGTGAACAGACTAATCTTACCTGATTAAGGTGTTGGGGAAAGAAAAGCTGCAAATGTGACATCGGCTGGCTGACCAGAAGGAGGGCCCAGAAGCTGTATCTGGAGGAGAGCTGCGAAGAACTCTGTATTCTTGCCCCAAGTTCTGTCACGTTAAAGAAGGCTGATCATTGAGCAGTGTCCATGGGAGCTCTGTTTGCTAATCACCTCTAGGAGGATGGAAAGTGGCTCTGAACCAACTGTTGTTAATAAGAAAAAGAATTATATTAAAATAATTTTAAAAAAATAATTCCATGTTAAAAAGTATTAAATAAAAGGTAGTCAAGGAGAAAGGAGGAGTTTTTCACTTGAAGTGATGGGTTCAGCCTGTAATTTCTACTTGGCACAATTCATTTCCTTGAAATAAATTTATATAAAATGACAAAGCTGCCCAAAAGTGCAAAATAATTGCTGTTCTCCCTCTTGTATACCATTTTAATGCAAACCATTTATAGATCAGTCTTTTCTTCAAAAGCTTTACTAAAAACAAAAGTGGGGGTTTTTTTGTTTCGTTTTGGGTTTTTTTGGCTGTGAGGCTTTTTCTATTATACCCACAATATTTGATGTGTACTGTGTCCAGATTAAACTTACTACTTTAGGTGTCGGGAAATACTCTTTTTTTGCTTGGTTGGAAACTTCCATGGCAAGCATCATGTGAAGGGTGATGAAAAGATTATTGCTTGGTTTTTTTTTTGTTTGTTTGTTTGTTTTTAATAGTATTGCACTGTTGTGTTGCCACAACCTGGAGGACAAATTCAGGCAAAAACAGTGCCATGGAGTTGACTTGCCTAATGAATTCTACTTCAAGCACATGTTAATTGGAAGAAAAAATGTAACAGCTGAGCCAGGCAGTTGGTTTGTTCAGGTGATTTTCTAGGTGTCTTTGGGATGGTCATCTGTACAGTACTGTATTATTTCCCCTTGATCTTTATAAACTTTTTCAGTGAGAACAGAGCACTCTCTGTAGCTTTAAAGCACTTCCAGCAGACTACTGCATTGGTGTTTCTGGGTGCTTCTGAAAACTCATTGGCACTGACTGTCCCTGGGGTGAGTGGACTATGTTATTAGATGCTCCGGTTTGTCTGAATGGGGCTATCTGCTCCCTAAAAGCAAACTGTCTGTAGCAGATGATGTTCACTTCAGAGTGTGCTGGCTAGGACTTGGTCTTGATATGTGTTCTTAATGGTGGACCCAGCGAGTTCTGGCTTGTTGGTGTTTCAAATAGCAAAGGCAATCTGAAATGCTGCACTTCTGTGAGTAAGGTGAGGGGCAGCTTAGTTTGAGGTAAGAAGTAAATGATACTGGTAAAACTTGAACAAAATCCTGATGTACTGAAAGCTGTAGAGAAGACTTCTCAAAATACTGCGTCCCTTCGCCCTGAAATCTGGCATGAAGAAGGGTCTCAGAGCGGCCAGGTGTCTTTGATAGCAGGTAATGATAATGTAGGAAAATAATGGTCAGAAGGTAACTAGAACCTGCTGCCAGGAAGTCAGGAGAACAAAAACTGAACTGTTGAAAGAGGAAGGGCTTGCTAACAGCGTTGTCCAAAGTGTGTGTTCTTGTTAATGGGACTGCATTTTTACCTGTAGCCCTAGATGTGAAAGCCTGACTTGCTGCCCTTGAGCAGAGGTATTAAAAGTTCACAGTATCATCTCGCTGAGACCTTCAGGATGCCTTCAGCAGCGCTCCTATGAAGCCTGCAATGGGCAGATGTTAAAAGAATCTCATGTAGATGTAACCTTCTCAGCAGTAATCACCTCCAACCTGTGAAGATGCAACATTTGGTGGTTGTGTAGACTGGCCTGAACTTGATATGAAAGGCAACAGAGAAAATAATTGATTCTTGGATTAAATGTGAATAAATATTTTCCTAAAGGACAGCAGAAAAATAGACCAGACTCTTCTTTTTCATTGTTTATTTTTCTTTTTTGGCTTTTGTGCGTGTGGTGGGTGGGTTTTTGTGTGTGTTGGGTTTTTTGGTTGGTTGTGTTTTCTTTCCATCTGAGAAACTGGAAAGTGGGGAAAAAAAAACAGTGCTGGATTCACACCTTTTTTGGTAGGTTGAAAAACTTTTTTAAAAAATAGGTCTGTCTTCATTATCTACATCTCCTCTGGGATGTTTAATGGAGAGAGGCTAGCTGCAGCTTCTCCAGCAGTGTTTCTGGCCATCAGGTGGGACAGTAGTGACTGAAGTCTGTAAAGATGTGCTGTTCAAATCTTTCCCCCCTAGGATTTGCCTTCCTGACAGTGAGTATTTTGTTGTTGTTGTTTTTGGAAATGAATGCCATTTTGTCTTCCTTGGGCTACAGCTGGATGTCTAGAAGAGATGGTTTTCTTGTCAGTATTTCCATGTGTTCAGGCTCTGCAAATTTTAAGGCTTCTCTTGCTGAAATGTCTTTGGAACAGAGAATCTTCTGGCCATCCCAGTCTGAGCAATGCCTTGCTGCAGCCTCAGCTATCACTACAGCCTGTGGATAGAAGCTAAATTGCTACCACTAACTGAGACTTCACTCTGTTAGCAAAATTTTTCTCTATTTGTCTTTTCATCAAACAGGTGCTAATTGTATGATCTAGAACAGAGGATTACTGTCTTCCAGTAGGACAGAAGAGTCAATTTTTTGTGTATAGAACTTGTTGGGGGGGTCAATGTTAGTTTTCCGGTTTCTGCTTTGAGGCCCTGGGTAATCAAAGTCCTCTTCTGCAGACTGCAGAAGTGATCAGCATTCACTGATAGCTGGCAGAGTTTCTTTGCCAGTACATGATGCAATCTTGACTTTGTTATGTGTAAGATGCTGCTGTTTTCCATATTTGCTGCTGTTTTACTGTTAGCTTTCTGGAATGTCTCTTTCTAAATCAAACAGTTCCCTAGTAAAGGAGACCAAAATCCATCAGAAAATGAATTGTTTTTTCTTTATTCACCTACCAGTGCTTGCAGAAATTGTAGGTTAGAGACTTGAACCTAGAAAAAGCAGGTAATTAATGGTATGTTAGTAGATAATTGGCTACATAATGTGTTTCAGTATGTATTGCCTTGATGGGGCATACAAAGATGTTGGGCAATATGTGCTTCCAAGGGCTCTCGCCTGAGTGTGAGTTGTGCATCTCTTGTGATTCTGAGATGTTGTTGCCAATGCCTCTGAACTGCCAACACCTGACTGCAGCAGGGTAAGTCCTTGGGCTTTGATTTGTTTTTTTAATGTCCAATCATTTTGCAGTGCTGTCTGACATAGGATAGCATCTTGTGGAGGTACTTACTGTTTTATGAACAGTGTGATAGACCCAGACGTTCTGGGATCTACTGCCTCTCTTCCCTAAAGCAGGTGAGGTGTGTCTGGTGCCCTTGGCACTGTGAGCCGTGGTGCAGGAGCCCCTCAGCTCTGACTGAAACTGGTTCTTTCCAATTTAGTAGGATGCTGAGTGTGACTTGCCAAAGCCTTTGCTCAGATAAATACTTGTTTGTGAGAGAATCCTCAGGGCATGAGGGATGGTATCATCAACCAAAATAAGTAATAAATAAAGAATACTTACAATTCTTACTGATTTTGAGACTGAATTTCTATAATGGAATCATAAAACTTTCTTATCTAGTATTGAGTTTTTTTAAGTCATATGAGCTGCTTGCTAGCTAGACTTCTTCAGCCCTACTGTTACTAGAGCAGGTCACTAATATATTGTAGAAACCAATTTATGTCTTCACTATCTGTTTTGGTGTAATGGAATAATAAAACTTTCTTATCTAGTATTGAGGTTTTTTTAAGACATATGAGCTGCTTGCTAGCTAGACTTCTTCAGCCCTACTATTACTAGAGCAGGTCACTAATATATTGTAGAAACCAATTTATGTCTTCACTATCTGTTTGGTGTGGGTTTTTTTTTTTTTCTCTTGGAAAAAAGATAAGAGACAATTGCTAGAGCTTCTCATTGGCTCTCTGTTCCACAGAGGCTGAATTTAACAGGAAATCTGGCATATGTTGACTCTTCATTCTGTGCCTTTATACAGGTTTGAATGCAGTTGCTGACTGATAAGTGGTCCCACTCCAACTGCTCAGGAGATAATGCACAGTAATGGAAGCAGAGCTGGAGCAAAAGCTTTTATAAAGTGTTCTGAAATTAAGCTGTTACTTCTGGTTGCCTTGTTACCTGGGAATAAGCAGCTTTTGCTAATTGCTTATAGGACTTAACAAAAGCAGGAAAGAAATGGGTGGAAAGGCAGTGAGAAGGTTGGATGAGAAAGAAATGGGCAGGAAGGAGGAGAAGAAAGCTTCCTGAGCCATCTTCAAGGTGAGCATTCAAGTTAGGGGGACAGGGTGGATAAGAGTTTGGACTCTTGTTTTGGGGCCTTCCATTTATGCATAAAAGAGGAGGAAACTGCTGGAATGATGACTGTTTGGCATTTCATATATAATGTTCACAAGCAAGGCTCCACCTAGTCTTTAATGCTCTGTCTAGGTTTTGTGCTGTAATCCAGGATTTCTGACAAGTGGAGCAAAGACTTTCTGCTGAGACTTTCCTTTGTCAGTTCTCCAGCTCTGAGGGGACCCATGAGTAGCTCTGTACTCCTTGGATATATGCCTGGTCTCAGTAAATAAATCAGATAGGTAGTAATGTGTCAGATCTGTCTGATCACGATAAATTTCATCTTGTATGCTCTTACATTTGAGTTGGGTTTCTCTGTAGCAAAGTGGCATGTGCTAGGTCCTGCCCTTTGGAGCTGACACAAGCATCAAGGTTTCTCTGTCCCTGTGTTGGATGTGAGGTGGTTCTTTGCTTTTTATACCGTGTTTTAAAAAAAAAAAAGCTACATGTGATGCTAGAAGGTAGTGGCATGTACCCCTGCCTGTACTGTCCTGATCTGCTCCTGGAAGTCACTGCTGTCTTACTTGGGGTTTGCTTTTGTTTCCCAAAACGAGAAGGATGATGGCCCTTCCTGGGCTGTTCAGGTACCACCACCTTTTAGCTTTCTGCCCCTCTGGGTTACTGGAAGTTCTTGCTGGCGAGCCTCGTCCCTGCCGCGTCTTGGAGGAGCCAAACCTTCGCACCGGGAGACAACAAGCACAGCCAGAGACGCTTCTCTGCGCGCTGCGGGGCGGGCCGAGG